ATGTTGTTACGAACATATAATTGAGTAGTTTGAAATGCAGGATCATCTAAAGGAACGAAATCAATCAATCAATCAATACAATACAATTGTGTATAAAAATATGAATATTCAATGAATAAAAATACCTTTGTAAATATGTGGAGCACGACGTAACAATTGCACAGCTTCATCCGAATATCCAGATTCACGAACTAAACCATACTGCATCTTATCAGTGACATCCATCCAATCCATTCCAAGTGTGGGATCAGTTCCAACTTTATAAAATTGGTTTTGTATTTCAGGTGATAATCGTTGTTGTTCTTCTTTTTGAAGCAATGTTAACATTTCTTCTTTTGTAGTTGGTAATATTGGATGGATGGTAACGGAGGGAACAGGGATATTTTTTAAATTATCGTTTGAATTTGGAGGAATCCAAAGTTTCAAAAAATTATGCTGAACATTATGAAGCAAATCAGACATTGAAATACAATTACAACACAAATCATAATCAGGGCATTCTTGACATTTATATCTATTTCAGAGAAAAAAGAAAGCATTATATAAATATTCAAAAGAGATCACGACTTGAAATAAAATGAATATTGTGTATATAACCTTGTTCCTTTCCAACCGCTTTTACCACAGTAATCGCAAGCAATATCAATATGAACGCCACTTTGTAGAATTTCTTCATTTGTTGGTGTATAACGCGTAAGTGGTGGCAATGCATCAAACTCTGTTCGACAACTGGTCTCATGAAACATCCCACCACGTAGCTTGAGTATAAGATGTAATATTTCTCCGTTTTGAATATTGTAGTCTGATAAGGTGCGATAATCTTCTAATTGCTTTCCACCAAATATAAAACTTTGTTGATCAGGGGGATACCTTCTCTATTGTAAAATATTTCTTTAATTTCATCGAAAGTATTGGCACCAGAAATATTATCCAGAACAATAGACTTTCCAGTTAATGTTTTGATAAAGATTGACATTGAACCATGTATTCTCTGATTTACACAAATAAAATCCAATACAGACTCAGGCTTAATATTGTAATCATCCAATGTATAATCATCTTCCAATACCGTTCCGGCAAAAAC